AGCGTAGTAGTAAATGGTGTTTTACATGCACAAAGGTGCTAAATTCAATCCTGCTCAGCTAAACGGATCTCAGATGACAAGGCTGAAAAAAAAACTGGTCTGAGATTTTGGACAGTCATTAAGAGTCAGAGTTGAACCAGTGCTTTGACAGAGTATATGTGAAAGTTATCTCCCTATGTTAAGACCAAGACATTGACTAACAAGTTCAAAGATCGTTCTTAACAACATCCACATCCTCCATATTATGAAAAGTTCAGAAATCCCATTTATCTTCTCTTTTTTTGGTGTGAATCAAGAATACTCTCCACTCAATTTGTGCAATCATTACACATATTGCAAGCAAGTTTATTTCCCCCTATCTGTCACAAACTATTTGTGGAAAAGGAGAGCAGGAGTGTGGAGGAGGACACTCAGAAATTTAAAAATAATTGCACTTGGTACTATAGTTGCCACAATAGCATAAATGCATGACTTTCTTGGGAATATTTTTAAACCCATAAACAAGTTAACTAAACCCAGCCTCAGGGGAACTATAAAACATATGGTGAGTATTTTAATCATAGCAGTGCTTCCAATGGAGGATATATATAGCATTCCAAGCTGCCATATGTCCCAATCCATGCAAGATTATGAAACAGGGTCCTTCTAGGTGCAATGGGATATATTCCCGTGCAAACATGCTAACACATACCACAACCACAGAGTATGTTTCCCTGCATGCAAGTCAACAAACCAAACCTCTCTGGGTATTGCAGGCACGTCACCATACAGCCAAATGCTACTACCCACATTCACCCTAGAAGAAAATCTACCAGGAACTGACACACTCACGTCTAAATGGGAAACAAGTCAGTGAAACAAATGGGATTTAACTGGCCAGCAAAACATCTTCCAGCGCTTCTGTAACAGAGCAGCGTAAGGTTTACACCAGTGGATACTGTCTTGAATCTGGGTTCAGTAACTACTGAATTTAAGCACAAATTGAGTATCCCTTACTTGGGACCAAAAGGGATTTGGATTTCAGGTTCCCCCCCCCCCACCTCAAGATTTTGGAATACAGACAGACCCAGAGTTATAAATATCCAACTTACAAACTAGTCCTGGTTAAGAACGCAAGTGAGACAATAGATAGTGAAAGAAATCTACCTCTCGGAAGAGAAATTCACTCCTGAAGGAGTTCTTTATCATGGAGAAAAGAAATTTCCACTGCAGCTTTAGCACCAATCCTTGTTTCCACAAGAAGCCACTTTTTTCAGAATCCAATTCTCACAGGGACAGAAAGTGAAGGAAAATCTCCTGAAGAGGGGCGCAGACAGCAAACAAACACCCCAGGGGTGTTAACCCAAGCCTATGCTATTCAAAGCTTTAAAAGATATATTGGCTCAAGATAGACTTTAAAATGCACCCATTATGACTTACAAACAAATTCAACTTAAAAACCAACCTACAGAACTGATCTTGTTCATAACCTGGAGACTGCCTGTACCCATATTTGTCCATACAAGCATCTTGGCGACTGGACCCAAGTTTAAAGATGAAATTCATTTACGTTTCATATATACCTAACATATCTATCATGAAGGTACTCTTAAACAATTATTTTAAATAATTTTGTGCACAAAACAAAGTTTGGGTGCACTGAACCCTCAGAAAATAAAGGTGGCACTATCTTAGCCATCCATCTGGGCAATTCTGGATTTCTTGATAAAGGATGCTCAAACTGTGTTATAATTGGGTATTTGGGTTTGCTTACCACTTATTAAACTGCTACGATTCCTTATGGTAATTTCTTCCTAGAGGCTGTTATTGTTATTTATTTATTTACGATATTTATATCCTGTCTTTCTCAACCCTAAAGGCGACTCAAGGCAACCTTATAAAGGCAACAATTCAATGCTGCATGTATACATACATCAAAGAATCAACAAAACATTAAAATCAACTAATTAAAACATAACATTAAAACAACCATTAAAATCACATAGTCCAGGTCATATTCCAAGGCCAGTTCGGGTCATCATTAAAATCAATTTACAATCTCTTACTGCCTCGCTCCCATTATTGACCAAAAGCCTGATCCCAGAGCCAAGTTTTTAGGTTTTTTTTCTGAAGACCTGGAGGGAGGAGGCTAATATAATTTTACTGGGGAGGGAGTTCCATAGATGAGGGGCCACCATTGAGAAGACCCTGTCTCTCGTCCCCACCTCTTGCGTTTTCGAAAGGGGTGGGACTGAGAGCAGGGCCTCCCCTGACAATCTTAGCTCTGAGGTGGATAATAGAGGGAGATACATTTGTTGGATAATAGAGAGGATACATTCGGACAGGTAAGCTGGGCTGAAACCGTTTAGGACTTTATATACTAAAGCAGTGGTTCTCAACCTGGGGTCCCCAGATGTTTTTGGCCTACAACTCCCAGAAATCCCAGCCAGTTTACCAGCTTTTAGGATTTCTGGGAGTTGAAGGCCAAAAACATCCGGGGACCCCAGGTTGAGAACCACTGTACTAAAGCCAGCACTTTGAATTGTGCTCGGTAGCAGACTGGCAGCCAGTGGAGCTGACGCAACAGGAGGGATGTCCTCTTTGTGTACACTGCTCTGGTGAACAGCCTAGCTGCTGCCTGTTGGACCATTTGAAGCTTCCAAACAGTCTTCAAAAGCAACACCATGTAGAGTTATCCAATTAAACATCTAAATCTAGCACTGTTTAATTATGCTGGCCTATTGACCATAGCTTGATAAGCATTGTTTAACATTTACTGTTAGCCGCCTAGAGTCCCTATAGTAGAAGAAAGGTAGGATAAAAATAAAAGTCAACTAATAAATCGCAAATAATAAAATTTTAAAAAGCCAATTTTATCTTCCAATAACAACATGACTCTCCTACTACCAACCTGATCCCTACAACAAGCCTGCAAGGTAGTTTGGGCTACGAAAGGTGCATCTACACTGTAGAATGAAGAAGAGCAAACTACAGACCACCTATTACAATGCATCCTAAGCCCTGCCACATGTACAGCCTTCTTATAGCAACACCAGAGGCACTCAAGAAGAACTTTAGTTTTCTACCCCGCCTCCATCTCCCCAAAGGGATTCGCCTCCATCTCCCCAAAGGGACTCGGGGTGGCTTACATGAGGCCAAGCCCAAGGCAGAGTACAATTAAAAGCAGAGCAAAACAAATTAAAATTTTAAAAGCATAAAACAGCATAACAATAATAGACAAGCACCAAGCAACAAAAGACTAAGTTTAAAGGGGGGGGGGGAGAGAAGGACAATATATGAGCTGATTAAGGGATGATTGGTTCAGTAGGGTGGATGAAAACGTATAATAACATAGGAAATATTATGAAAACAAAGCAATTCAACAGGATCAGAGTCAATTCAGTTTAACTTACAAGATCTAAATAGTAATGTAATATAGGCCAGTAGGCTGTTAGGAATTGTGGGAGTTGAAGTCCAAAACACCTGGAGGGTCCAAGCTTGCCCAACGCCTGCTTTATACTTGTCTCCTGTGCTATGCTAATAATATAATGTAATATAATATATTGTACATACATATATTTATAATATTATAATGTAATTCAATATAATACTAATACTAATAATAATATGCCACTACAATTATATATTTATATTACATGTAACAATATAATGGTATAGTACAATATAGTAATACTTAATACTGATATTGTACTATATATATATATGTCTTGTAAGCCGCTCTGAGTCCCCTTCTAAATAAATTATTTATTTAACATTACTAATAATATTACTATATAATGGTATAGTACAATATAGTAATATTTAATACTGATGTTGTACTATAATAATAATATAATATATTGTATGTATATATATCTTGTAAGCCGCTCTGAGTCGACTTCTAAATACATTATTTATTTAACTTTACTAATAATATTACAATATAATGGTATAGTACAATATAGTAATATTTAATACTGATATTGTACTATAATAATAATATAATATATTGTACATATATATATATATATTATATATCTTGTAAGCCGCTCTGAGTCCCCTTCTAAATAAATTTATTTAACATTACTAACATTACTAATAATATTACAATATAATGGTGGTATAGTACAATATAGTAATATTTAATACTGATATTGTACTATAACAATAAAATATATTGTATGTATATATATCTTGTAAGCCGCTCTGAGTCGCCTTCTAAATAAATTATTTATTTAACATTACTAATAATATAATATATTGTATGTATATATATCTTGTAAGCCGCTCTGAGTTGCCTTCTAAATCCATATTTTATTTAACATTACTAATAATATTATGGTATAGTACAATATAGTAATATTTAATATTGATATTGTACTATAATAATAATATATTGTATGTATATATATATATATATATATATATCTTGTAAGCCACTCTGAGTCGCCTTCTAAATAAATTCTTTATTTAACATTACTAATAATATTATAATATTATATAATATTATAATAGATATTGTACTATAATAATAATATAATATAATATATTGTACGTATATATATATATATCTTGTAAGCCACTCTGAGTTGCCTTTAAATAAATAATTTATTTAACATTACTAATAATATAATATATTGTATGTATACATATGTTGTAAGCCGCTCTGAGTCCCCTTCTAAATAAATTATTTAACATTACTAATAATATTACAATATAATAGTATAGTACAATATAGTAATATTTAATACTGATATTGTACTATAATAATAATATAATATATTGTATGTATATATATCTTGTGAGCTGCTCTGAGTCCCCTTCTAAATCAATAAATTATTTATTTATAAATAAGTAAATCAATAAATAGTTTGGCCCTACTTTTAAAGTTTGGACGCCCCCTTCACTGCTGTGACTCTGGAGTCCTTGGGAGTTGTAGTCCTTCAAGGACTTCACCCCAAACTACAAGTCCCAGGGGCGCTAAGGCCACCGGACAGGCGAGCTGCCCCTTCTAGGCGCACCTGCTGCTGCTGTGGCTGAGGTAGGCCCAAGCGGCGTGGTGGTGGTGGTGGGAGGCGGTCCCGGCTGCTGCTGCTGCTGCCGCCCGCCGTCCTCCTCCCCGAAGATGAGCCTGAAGTCGAGCTCGTCGTTGGCGCCGCTTTCGCAGTTTGCCGCCGTCATCGGTGGGGGAAGCCCGGGACCCCGCCTGAGGCGAGGCGAGGCGGCGGAGACGGCGCGGGAGGGGAAGAGAGAACCTTCTCCGTCGCCGCCGTCGTCGCCGTCTCCTCAGCGCCTCAGCCGCCGCCTGTCACTCACAGGCGACGCCACGCCCCTTTCCCCGGCGAGCCCTCATTGGACCCTTCTGGCCCCGCCCCGTTTTGAGAAGCACGCCCCGCCCAGAATTCTCCTCCTCCCGAGAGAAGTAAAAGTAAGGACGCTCTCAGAGCGCATGTGCGTCCCTGCTGGCTCCGCCTCCTTTGGGGATTTACGCCCCGCCTACAATTCTCTCGCGGGAGGGAGTAGAGGTAAGGATGAGCCTAATGGCCCCGCCTCGTTTTGAGAATTCTCCCGTTGAAGAGAGTAATAGGACGCTCTCAGGGCGCATGCGCTTAGTGGCCACGCCCCGTTTTGAGAATTACGCCCCGCCCAGAATTCTCTCGCTGGAGGAATAAAAGTCCGCACTAAGAGCGCATGCGCTTAGTGGCCACGCCCCTTTTGAGAATTACGCCCCGCCCAGAATTTTCTCGCTCTCAGGACGCATGCCCATACTTGGCCACGCCCCGTTTTGAGAATTACGCCCCGCCCAGAATTCTCTCGCTGAAGGGAGAGGACGCTCTCAGGACGCATGCGCATAGTGGCCACGCCCCTTTTGAGAATTACGCCCCGCCCAAAATTCTCTCGCTGAAGGGAGAGGACGCCCTCAGGACGCATGCGCATAATGGCCACGCCCCGTTTTGAGAATTACGCCCCGACCAAAATTCTCCCGCTGGAGGGGAAGAACGTTCTCAAAGCGCATGCGCATACTGGCCACGCCCCGTTTTGAGAATTACGCCCCGCTCAGAATTCTCTCGCTGAAGAGAGTAAAAGGACGCCTTCAGGGCGCATGCGTATAATGGCCCCGCCCCATTTTGAGAGTTAAAGCCCCGCCCAGAATTCTACTCCCGCTGGAGGGAAGAACGTTCTCAAAGCGCATGCGCACGGTGGCCACGCCCCATTTTCGGAGTTAACACCCCTGAAGAGAGTAAAAGGACGCTCTCAGGGCGCATGCGTGTAGTGGCCCCGCCCCATTTTGGGACTTAACGCCCCGCCCAGAATTCTACTGCTGGAGGGGAAGAACGTTCTCAGAGCGCATGCGCACAGTGGCCCCGCCTCGTTTTGAGAATTACGCCCCGCCCAAAATTCTCTCGCTGGAGAGAATAAAAGGACGCTCTCAGGGCGCATGCGTATAGTGGCCCCGCCCCAATGTCGGAGTTAACACCCCGCCCAGAATTCCACTCCCGCTGGAGGGAGAAGAACGTTCTCAAAGCGCATGCGCACAGTGGCGCCGCACCAATTTCGGAGCTCAGAATTCTCCTCGCGCTTGAGGACGCTCTCAGGGCGCATGCGCGTGCTCTATATTAGGCAGTGACACTAAATAGTACATATAGTAACAGTAAATAATAATAATTTATTTTATATTATTTCTCCTGATGGCTTGAGGCGGAAGTACAATAAACACAAATGAACATAAAAATACAATACATTAGTAAATTACATAGATACACATATATGTATAGGAAAACTTATACTATAACACAACTTCAGAATGGACATATAGTGGTAATGGAATGCAAATCATATGTTTTTGTATCGAAATCACATCACACAGAGAAAATAAACACATCCAGAAAAAGCAAAGTGCATTATTATCGCCTATTCCAATTTTTATTGTATTTTTATTATATTTTAATATAATATTAATATTTTAATATTAATTTAATATAATATTTTCTGGAATGTTCATATTTCCTAACTTTAATACTACAGTATTTGTATGCACTCTGAACTCTACCAACGATGGAACTAACTTGGCACACACAGAACAAAAAATACTGGAGGTCTTTGGAGGGATGTATAGGAGTTGTAGTTCACCTACATCCAGAGCGCACTATGAACCCAAACAAGGATGGATCTGGACCAAACTTGACATGCATGCCCGATATGCCCAAATTTGAATACTTGTGGGTTTTGCAGGTAATTGGCCTGGACATTTTGGAGTTGTCGGTACTAGGATTTATAGTTCACCTGCAATCAATGAGCACTCTGAACTCCACCAAAGATGGAATTGGACCTAACTTGGCATATATGAAGTCGAACATGACCCCCCCCCCCCCGCCCAATAAGAGATAGTAACTTATAGTTTTGCTAAGGACAAGGACATCAGGCTGGATAATAGGGGTCAAGTATTGGTCAATTTGCAAAGACACTAACAACAGGGACCCTTCCCATGTCAGATAGTGTGTACATTTAATCAAGGTTTTATGTCCTATATCTATATATATAAATCTGTTAGGTTGGTTCAACCGGACAGCAAAACTCCACAACCCCCCAACGAAACTGTACCAAAATTGCCATGCCCATAACACAACCCACAAGGTACAAACATATCTACTCAAAATGAAAAACAACACAACAACACACTCACAAAACGGCAAAACAAAACTCAAAAAAACCCCAACGAAACTTAACCAAAATTCCCATGCCCATAACACAACCCACAAGGTACAAACATATCTACTCAAAATGAAAAACAACACAACACACTCACAAAACGGCAAAACAACAAAACTCAAAAATCCCCCAACGAAACTTAACCAAAATCCCCATGCCCATAACACAACCCACAAGGTACAAACATATCTACTCAAAATGAAAAACAACACAACAACACACTCACAAAACGGCAAAACAACAAAACTCAAAAACCAACGAAACTTAACCAAAATTCCCATGCCCATAACACAACCCACAAGGTACAAACATATCTACTCAAAATGAAAAACAACACAACAACACAAAACGGCAAAACAACAAAACTAAAAAAAAACCCAACGAAACTTAACCAAAATTGCCATGCCCATAACACAACCCACAAGGTACAAACATATCTACTCAAAATGAAAAACAACACAACAACACACTCACAAAACGGCAAAACAACAAAACTCACAAACCCCCCAACGAAACTTAACCAAAATTCCCATGCCCATAACACAACCCAGGTACAAACATATCTACTCAAAATGAAAAACAACACAACAACACACTCACAAAACGGCAAAACAACTGAGCATGCGCATTGGTGCCCAGCCGCAAGTTCCCTGGCGCGCGCACACAGTTCCCTCTGCGGAAGCCATGCCCACTCCAAGCCCCGCCGCGCCGCTTCCCGCACACACACACCCCCCTGCCGCACGCACACACACAACCCCACGCTCCATCACTCCCCCGCCGTACACACACACGCAACCCCACACTCCATCACTCCCCCCACCGCCACACACACACGCGCAACCCCACTCCCCCCCCCCGCTGCCGCACACACACACGCAACCCCACGCTCCATCACTCCCCTGCCCCAATCTTACCTCCTTTTACTTCACGCCACCTCCAAACCCCACCCCGCCCCTTCCGCCCTGTCAAAATCCAGGAAAGACAGGAAGGAAGGAAAGAAGGAAGAAAGAGAAAGGGAGGTAAAGAAAAAGGGGGAAGGAAGGAAAGTTAGAGAAAGAAGGAAGAAGAAAAGGAAAAAAAGGAAAGATGGAAGGAAAGGAAAGAGAGACAGCAGAAGAGAAAGAAAAAGGGGGAAGGAAGGAAAGAGGTAGAGAAGGAAGAAATGAGAGACAGAGGGAGGGAAAGAAAAAGGGGGAAGGAAGGAAGGAGAGAAGGAAAGAAAAAGGAATGAAGGAAGGAAAGAGGGAGAAAGGAAGTGAAGGAAGGGGGAGGGAAGGAGAGAAAGAGAAGGAAAAAGAGAAAGAGAAAAAAGGGGAAGGAAGGGAAAGAAGAGAAGGAAAGGAGAGGAAAGAGGGAGGGAAGGAAGGAAGGAAGGAGGAAGGAAAGGAAGAGAAGAAGGAAGGAGGAGGGAAGGAAGGAGAGGGGGGGGGGGAGGGAAAGAAGGAGAGAAAGAGGGAAGGTTGGCCACAGCAACACGTGGCGGTAAAGGTTGTTATTTCTATTATTATTATTATTATTATGCTATTATTCCTATGAGACCCTTTTAGGGGGAATGAGAGAGGTGTCAGGTCCCAGAGGCAATGCATTGCATTATTGTTATTGTTATGATGGTGGTGAAATAAAAGGAAATAAAAAGAGAAAGAAGGAAGCAAACAGGGAGGGAAGAAAGGCAAAGGAAGAAAGGGGGAGGGAATGAAGGAAAGAGAGAAGGATGAAACCAAGTAGTGAAAGAAGGAAAGAGGTAGAGAAGGAAGAAAGGAGAGAAAGGGGGAGGAAAAGGGGGAAGGAATAGGTAGGGACCTCTCTTTCATAATAGTCCAGATATCTACCTCAACTTTGATAAGTTTTACTATAGGCCACAGCAACGCGTGGCAGGGCACAGCTAGTTTCATATATAGCAGAAAGTAACAAATTTATTACTGAAAACCATGCCACAAAAGTTACTTGACTTTTCCCATCTGAGACACAACTGGGCTATAGAAATAATGGCTCTCCAATTGGTTTCCCATCTCAGCGATTCAAAAACAAAAGGGACTCCCTTTTGAGCTTGGAAACATTCACATAGCCAGGCTAAAGGTTAGCCAAGAAAAACATTATGCTCTCCATGTTTTAGGAGATGGACTCTGCGTGGGGGTAGGGAGGGTTGATATGATTTTTTCCCCTCTTTATGAATGTATGTCTTATGAACCCTCATATATGTGTCTGTATAAAATATGAAATGCCACCTCTTCGTGACCCCAGCACACCAAAGATCTCAGGAAAATCTTCTCATTTCCTGGGATTGATAATCCCCTGAAAGGACTCAACAGAAACCTCTTGCATGGACAATACAATAATAATAATAATAATAATAATAATAATAATAATAATCTTTATTTATACCCCGCCACCATCTTCCCGGTGGGGACTTCTGGGTCCGAGCCCTGAAAACATAATACAGCAATAAAATCGAAACATAAACAACAGGCAACTTCAACATCATCAGAATTACATAAAAGAAAGAAAAAAAGGCAATCATAAAATAACATTCTAATAAAGACAATCACAGTAACGATAACAATG